TTTTTCCTTTTTTTGAGACAGAGTCTTGCTTTGTCACCCAGGTTGGAGTACAGTGGCACGCGTGATCTCAGCTCACTCCAACCTCCCCATCCCGCTTCAAACTATTCTTGTTTCTCAGCTGGGCGCCACCACACCTAGCTAATTTGTGTATTTTTAGTAGAGAGGGAGTTTTGCCATTTTGGCCAGGTTGGTGCAGAACTTCTGACCTCAGGTGATCTGCCTGCCTCCCAAAGTGTTGTGATTACAGGAGTGAGCCACCCTGCCTGGCCTCTTCTATTTATATTTTAAATGGTTAAACAGGCTAGTAGCCAATTAAGATCTGAATTGTACATGATTATAGAATTTTGATGTATTGTTTGCATCATGACCATGACATGTGGACTTGAATTAATGAGAACATGGGTCATAAAGTTCTCATTCTCAATTCTGAGACAGGTTTGGGATTCCATATTTCTCAAAATGTTCTATGTAATTACAATCTGAGTGGTTTTTTTTTTTTTTTTTTTTTTTTTATGCTGTATTATAAGCAAGAGTTCAAAGAAAATATTCAAATTGGAAGATGTTTTTGTTTTTACACTAAAGAAAAAGGTTTTAACAAATTATACTTAAAAATAACACCTTGCCAGGCGCAGTGGCTCAAGCCTGTAATCCCAGCACTTTGGGAGACCAAGGCAGGTGGATCATGAGGTCAAGGAATCGAGACCATCCTGGTCAACATGGTTAAACCCCGTCTCTACTAAAAATACAAAACATTAGCTGGGCATGGTGGCGCGTGCCTGTAATCCCAGCAACTCAGGAGGTTGAGGCAGGAGAATTGCCTGAACCCAGGAGGTGGAGGTTGCAGCGAGCTGAGATCACGCCATTGCACTCCAGCCTGGGTAACAAGAGTGAAACTCCGTCTCAAAAACAAAAACAAAAACCAAAAAAAATATATATAATATATATATATACACCTCTAAAAGGATTAGTTATCTTTAGTAAATTAAAAATGCTATCCTAAGTCTTCGTGTTGGGTATTTTCTCCCTTTCTCTCTCCTTGCATACTTGTTTTAATACTAGCTGAAGCAAAAGTTTAGACATTTCTTAATGAAGTAACAGGTTCATTTGATCAAATCAGTTCTTCATTTTCCTAATAAATTTGTGAGTACAAGCATCATGAGTCAAGTAATATTTATTACACAAGGGTAAGCAGGTAGTTGGGATGGAGAACTGTGAGCCTTGTGGTAAAATGATAGGAAATGGTGGGGAGTGCAAGCAGGAGGCAGACTCTACTTAGCTATAGCAGTTTGTCATGTGGGTACAGGGCAGGTATTGAAGAATCTTTTATTTAATGCAAAGTCTGAATCTGGATTTTTGAACAAAGTTTTTCTAGTATTAGACATTGTCAAGCAATTAAAAATGTGTGAATGTTTATGCACACAATTACTTTATGGGCCCATGCTATAGGCCAAACAATAGGTTTATTGAGGCTAAATATGTTATAGTGCATACACTTTGTAGATTTCAAAAACTGGAGATTTTCAAACGTTAACACTACTAGAATCACCTAAAAAAATTTAGATTTTGGCTGGGCGCAGTGGCTCATACTTGTAATCCCAGAACTTTGGGAGGTCACGGCAGGTAGATCACAAGGTCAGGAGTTGGAGACCAGCCTGTCCAAAATGGTGAAAACCCCGTTGTACTTAGAAATGCAAAAATTAGCCATGTGCAGTGATGCACCCCTGTAATCCCAGCTACTTGGGAGGGTGAGGCAGGAGAATCGCTTGAAACCTGGGAGGTGGAGGTTGCAGTGAGCCAAGATCGGGCCACTGCACTCCAGCCTGGGCGACAGAGTGAGACTCCATCTCAAAAAAAGAAAAAAGTTAGATTTTTTAGGTTCCTGCCTCCCAAAAGACCAATTCTACCTAATCTGACATAGTTTCAGAATTCTAGAGTATAATATGGTTATACTCCAGAGTTGTTTCTTTAATGCAAGCAGTATTCTAAAACAGTTTCAGATCTAGTTTCCCTTTCTATAAAATACTTTTTCATGCTCTCATTGTCATCCTAAATTAATAAATCCTGAGGTCGGGAGTTCAAGACCAGCCTGACCAACATGGTGAAACCCCTGTCTTAAAAAAAAAAGACTAAATCCCTTTTCCAAGATTTCTTTACTAACTGGCAGTATACAAGATGTGTAACTATTCTGGACTAATTTCTTGGCAAAAAGTATAAATCATCTCAAGTGCAAGCTTTGTTGGCAAAGGATTAATATTTAAGAATGATCTAGGCCGGGCGCGGTGGCTCAAGCCTGTAATCCCAG